GCCCGGCCAAAAGTACTATTTCTATAGACTTAATTCTTTAGCTCCTGAAAATTGAAAGAGCCACTCTATTTGGTAGGAAACCAGTTAACCTTTAACTGAATTCAGGTTTCTGAAGACCAAAATTATAGCCATAACTCTAGTAACACATCATTGTAGAGCTTCCCAAATAAAATGTGGCAACCTTTATTTCTCACATCTAATACCATCATCATCACCATTATTTTTGAGACAGGGTCTTGCTCTGTCACCCAGGCTGAAGCGCAGTGGCGTGATCTTAGCTCACTGCAACCTCTGCCTCCCAGGCTCAAGCAATTCTCCCATCTCAGCCTCCCGAGCAGCTGGGACCACAGGTGCATGCCACCACACCTGGGTCATTTTTGTAGTCTGGTAAAGATGAGGTTTTTCCATGTTGCCCAGGCTGACATCTAACATTATTGACTCACCTGTATGAAGGCATAGTAACAGACCAGTAGATAATAGATGACTTGTGAGATGATAGACCAGGCAAAGCCCTTCTTTGACATCTGAAGGGAAGTGAAGCTTTCCAGTCTCACAGAGGTGAAGAAAGCACCTGAGAATGACAAAGAACACCTGGAGTCAAGAGTCTAAAACTTTTGCCGTCTTCTTGTTAAACTTTGTCTTTGAATAACCCCAACTCTTCCTGTATCATCAAATGTTTCTGAGTCTCAGTGCTCCACTTAGTATTTCCTTTAGAGCTGTCATGAATATTAAATGAGATAATGTATGCAAGGCTATTGGAGAAATACTGGTTTTACAGAAGTCAGTAGTGGGAAAGGATATGCTGTTGACCCTACCTTGAAGGGAGGTGTTGGTGGCTTAACAGCTATTATAGATGTTACCCTAACCATGTCAGAATGGCTGCAGAGAAGTTTAAGCACTGATACCCCATGAGTGCTAATGGTATCCCATGGATACTCAGTCATTTACATCAGGATAGACTAAAAGGCTTCAGCCTTCACCTGGAAGGACATTGAAAATGTTGACATTTATAAAATCATGAAAGGTCTTGTGAATATAAACCTTTCATAAAGCTTCAAAATATTAGTGATGGCAGCAGCACCCTGTCTGGAGTGGCTGCTGCCATGACACTGGCTGCAGTGGGCGAGGTGTGGCCGGGGTGTTGTGCTCTCTTGAGCCGTGGGAGCCAGTAACAGGTGGGAACCCTGCCCCCTTCTGAGGTGGAAGGTTGGGAGCCCCACCCTCCTGGGTACAGCTGCAGCCGCCCAGCCACAGCTGCAGACCCGAGCATCCCTGCACTCTTGGGGGCTCAGGAAGCACCCCCTGCCCCTGCAGGTTCAGAAGTGCCTGCTCCCGCTGCATGGCCTCTCTGCACTGCCAGCACCTGCTCTAATTTTGGAGCAAAGTTTTGGCCAAGCCTGGGCGCTGTCATGAGCCAGCTGGATATGTGTGCCCTTGGGGCAGTGCTGATAAGTAGCCCCCTACTGCCTCGGCCCTCTCCAAACTTTGGACACAGACAAGCATGGGAGGCAGGGAGGGTGAGGGGGCACTGAGGGCAGCTTGGCATGGACCTGCAGGTGCCCCTTGGCACAGCCTGGGCACCATGGGTGACATGGGTGGTGGCAGGAGGCAGACAGGCTCCTGGGCAGAAAGGGGCGGGTCCCCAGTAAAGCCCCACCTTTAAGCCAGGGATGGCCTGAAGCCTGGGGGCTGGGCTGCCAGTTCTGGAATCTGCCAGTTTCACCAACTCGAATGAGAACTTATGGCAGTTTTTCTGGGCCCACCCATGGCTGCCCAGGGACCAATCAGCACACACTTACTCCCCTCTGAAGCCCATAAAACCTCCAGACTCAGCCAGACTTGGGCAGACGGCAGGATGACTTGCCTGCAGATAGGAGCTACCATTCCAGGTCTCTCTGCTGAGGGCTACACAAACAATGGGACGACCTGCCTGTGGATAGGAGCTACCAACTCCAGGTCTCCTGAAAACTGTCTTGTCACTCAGTGAAGCTCCTTTCCACCTCTCTCACCCTCCAGTTGTCTGTGTACCTCAGTCCGGATGTAGGACAAGAACTCGGGACCTGCTGAGTGGTGGGACTAAAAGAGCTGTAACACATACAGGGCTGAAACACACCCCCTCGCTTGCCACACTGCAGGCAACGAGAAGGAGAGAAGAGCTGTGGCTCTTTGCGGGAGTCCAGACCCACAGGCTCCCTGAGCCAGGGCTGTGACACCCTTTTTGGGGCTCTGCAGTTCCTAGCATCTCCAAGATTCTAGGCACCATGGCATTCCTCTCGTTCAGACGTAGGCACCCACAGCGGAAACCACGTGCCGTACATCTGGTCCAGCTTCAGCCTTTCAGGGAGCCGGCACCTGTGCCAGCACATAGAGCTTCCCACCTCACCGCAGCAGCCAGTGTGCCTGGCTGTGGGCAGTGGCTGGACCCCGTGCTTGCTCATCCATATATCCCTCACTGCTCCGTGCCTGGCTCTTTCTTGGCAGGTGTGGGATCCAGGCCAGTAGCAGGAGCCGAGAACAGGCTGCCAGGCCAAGTGGGCAGAACAAGCCCAGTGGGTGCAAGCAACACTCAGGCAGAAGGTGCTGCAGGCCACAGAGGTTTCTGGCTGGCAAAGCAACACCCTAAGGATGCTGTGACATTAGAACTAAGATGTACCCCTTGTAGGCAAAAAAGACATTTAAGAACAAAAGGAATTCCTATTTCACCTAGCAAGCTCTCAAGACTGGAACTTTTCCCATGTTTATTTTAATCCCTGTCTATGTTTTGTTAGTAACTAAAAACCCCGTGAAGACCCTCAGGAAGCCTTTATGCTTCATTAGAAACAAGCATAAGAGAAGTGGTCTACTCTGCAGGTCTGAGAGGAGAAAAACTCCTGATTAGGAGAAAGATGTGATGGAAATGGAAGGATACTT